ATGCTGTGTACTAACTCAAGCTATGCTATGTGGACACCTTTGCAAAGCAGCGTTGCTCACGAACACAGAAATTAAATGTTAGTGTCTGACACTTTTTATCTGCATCGTGATTTCTTGGCAGCTACTTTGGAGCTAATTTGTAAGAAGTCTGTAGATGGAACAAAGTTTAGGTACAGCCCTGAATTTAGTATGAATAACACAATGTCCTTCAAATTTTATAAATTGACATACACTCATTCAGAGCCTTTCTAACATGGCTAATCTCATCTTTCTGTTTCAAAGGCTCTCAGGATGATTGTGTGTACGCTGCAACAGGCTCAAACTTCACTGTGTCACTTAAATATAAGTTAAAGTAATCAGAGAGCCTGAGATGGTTCAAGGACGCAAGGATAATCTTTCATCGCAGACAGAAACAGGTGATCTTAGGGAAAAATTATGATGCTGATTCAACTGAGCAAAGACGAGTCAGGACGATACAGACCAGAGATTCACAGCACAGAGGGAATAAATGTGGGGGGAAATTTACAAAGTGTGCTTTTGTGTGTATTAGGTAAGTAACAACACATTATACATACATTCATTTTGGTAATACAAATGTATAGCAAATGTTTTATCTGTTTCTATGTTAGTCACGCATTTAACCCACAGAAAACTGCTGGCTTATTAATGTACCAAAGTTACTGTCTAGTTTTGCCATACAGCATTATTATTATTTTTAATGTATTATCAAGATTATCTCTTATAATGTTGACATGATCACATTTTCTTTACTCAGACTGTGTGCAGACACCCACTGTGAGGATGACGTGTACAGGCAATAAGACAAATGTCAGTTTTACTTGTGTTTGTCAGCTGAGGACAATATTTCATGTTTTATTGATATTTCATATAGAGAGTTCTTCAAATAACTGACTCATAATTAAGCTGCTGAAAACTCTGTGGACAAAGGTCTTCACTTCTCCACTGAAACCAAGCATGAGTTGAACTGTGTTGACTGTACGATGCTGCTAAAACAGCAAGATTTGGGTTTGTATGTATTTATTATTTTATTATATAAATTGGAAAATAATCCAGAGTGTAAGAAAAGATTAACTGATGTTTTGCACTGGCTGCAATTATTCTCTTTTCTTGTTAGGGTCACGATTAGTCGATCATGTTTTCAAAAGATTAATTCTGCAGTTATTAATGTTTTCACTCATTTTTGTTAATTCTTTAATGTTGGGTTTATTGCCTAAAGTTCCCTCCAAATAAAAACTCATACATATTTATATTTTTTCAACAAAAAAAAGCCCTGAGAAATTGTTTGCTGAACCTTGCACTGGAAAAAAAAATTCTCACACACATGTGCACACATACATCCACAGATACATAAAATCTATGGATAACAAAACACTCAAACCCTTCTATTACAGGACTTTTATTTTTTACTGGATTTTTGATGTTATTCTTGAAGTCTAAACTTTCAACTAATCCAGAAATTATATTTTCTTGCACAGAATGAGAACAACTTTACGATCAAATGGTTTATGGATGATAAAAAGTTGGCAGAAAAAGAGATGATGCTGACGAGAGTAGCCAAAGATGTGCTAAATGCTCGCTTCTCTTGCAAATGTCTAACCCCGTCGAGGGTCACTATACTTGTTGTTATGCTTAAATTACTTATATTTGTAGTACGTGAAACACATTTAAAACTTTTTTTGAATAATTGCAGATAATTCAAATGCATTTTGTGTTAAGATCTCTTAACAAAATCTCTTAAATTATGGACATAGCATTTAAATCTGCTCTTTAAAGAAAAAATGCAAATGCAAGCAGCACTTATTCATTTAAAATGATCTCATTTAACTTCACTTGAACCTTTTTTTAAATTTACTTTTTTTTTTTAAAGTTCATTAAAAAGTTTGCTTGGGTGTATTTGATCTGTAAATAAGAGTGGAGTCAGAATAACGTATTTTCATTTAATATTTTAATTTGTTTAACTAATTAAACATTACATTAAGAGAAGGGGACTCTTCTGTCTGTCCTTATTTTAACAGATTTGAGGGAGCTTTATTTGCAGTGGACTGATCAAGAACAGGAAAAGCCTCGTTATTATGAGCATCGCTACCAGCAGCAGCCAGCTGTCAACACCAACAAAGAGGCTGAAAACAGCAGCGTCCCACAACCTGGCACCTGGGCACACTGTGATCTGAAGAGACACAACAGAAAATAACATTATCATCACCGTCTGGCCTTAGTGATGAAGTCATGTGATCTGTGCAGGATGCCTATAATATGTTATAATTAACCCTCCTGTTATGTTGGTTTCCAGGAACACCAATTATGCTCCTGGGTTAATTTTAACCTGGGCAAATTGACTCATCCAAAAGTGTCAGAAACACTGGCATTGATTATTTTACAATTTTCTTTTATAATTTTGATTTTATTTTTTCGTTTTCTGTAGTGATGCAGATGACATGTGACATCTCTTCTGTTCTGGGTCAGTCAACATAACAGGGTTAATTTAAAATCCAAAGGACTGAGAAGCACTTAGAACTGGGTAGTTTTGTATCATGGGCAGGGTTCTTCCTGGCTTGGCATGAACATATGAATAATAGGTAAAGTAAAATTACGGAAAAAGCGGTTCTGGTAGCTAAACGTCCAGACTGTCCTGTAATTATAAAAATATAATTTGTGTTAATTATAAGAAAGTGTATTTTTTTGCTTTTCTTTATTAAAAAAACAAACAGAAAAAACAGAAACTTTTCTGTCATTTCTTACTTCATTACTTCCATGTAGCATGAATGGAAAATTTGTGAAACGTATGAAAATTCAGTTAAAAGTCCAAAATTTATGCCCTCCTTCACAATTTCCAAAACTATCCAGCGCAGTGGGGCCAGATTGGAGTCTTTTGTCGGCCGAGGTGTGGAGGTGGTGAGTGACAGGAGAACGGCGGCTAAGCTGTCATCCCTGTTGGACAACGTCTCCCACCCCATGCAGCAGACTGTGACAGCACTGAGCAGCTCCTTCAGTGGGAGACTGCAGCACCCACGGTGTGGGACGGAGAGATTTCGCAGGTCTTTCCTCCCCACTGCTGTCAGACTCCACAACAAAGACTTTAACTGAACAAACACACACATCCACACATGTGCAATAACACTAAGTGCAATAATCCTTTCTGGCATCGTTGTATTTTTACTCAGTTGTATATAGCATTCGTATTCTATTTTTATCTTATTGTATATTTTTATTCTATTTTATTCTACTGTATATAGTATATTATTTTATTCTATTCTGTACAGCTGTGTACTGTATTTATTCTTATTGTATTCTAATTTTTGCACTGTCCACTTCCTGCTGTGACAAAACAAATTTCCCACGTGTGGGACTAATAAAGGTTATCTTATCTTATCTTATCTTATCTTATTATAGCCGCGGGCCTTACGTTTGACATCCCTGGTTTAGAGAATTTAATGAACATATCTATCAGATTTGACAACAAGGCTGCCAGACTCAGGCCAAGTTAGAGTCTTTAAACCCTTTATTCACAGTTTCTCAAACACTGGTAGGAGACACCCAAGTCACGTGACCACTACTAATTGAGGCTTTGGCGTATTTTGCGCCAGTTTGGACACTTGACTGCTGCTACCTGGACTGAAACAAACCTGATGACACGTCAAACTCCCAAAACCTTTAAAGTCCTCAGCAGCAGCAACAAGCAGATTGTAGGCTGTGAAGTCAGTGAAACCCACAGTACCCACAGTACAGTGATGGACGATGCGCTTTTAATCCACAACTTTCAATATTGGCAGAAAAAAGAGGAACAAGGCTGGTGAGAACTTTGAAAAAAAATCATACAAAAAGCGGCAAAAATCTCATTTTTGATTAAAACCTTTAGACAATCGAGACCTTGTTACTCTACTTCCCTTATTCATCTTATTTTTTATAAGCAGAATTAGCTACAATCATCTATTCACAAGTCCAATCGTGTGACTTTTATTCACTTACTTCCGTTTTTATTCTTTATAACCAGCATGTTTTGTGTTTTTGTCTTTAGACGGCATGTATGACATAATCTGCTGCCAGGTTAATAAATTGCTATCAGTGCAAAACGAGGAATCCGCGGTGGAATATGTAATCAATAATCAATAGTTGCCAGGATCACACCGCTTCTTTCACAAGGATTATTTTGAAAACACGCCACCACGATGATCCCAAACAGATCCTGGAAATGACCGGTTCTGGGGGCGGATCGGGTCCGCATCGCTTCAGGTTTCATGATCACAGTTCCCAGGATCACACCGCCTCCTCCCTGATTCAGAAGACACCATCTGATTGGTATGTAGATTCACGTTTATCATCATCATCTTTTTACTTTATGATTCTTTTATGGATCACATGGACTTTATTAATCATCATCTGCTGTCTGATAGCCTCACTGCAACTTAAGCCTTGTCCACATCCACACTGCTTTGAGTGGGTCTAAACTTTGTGATCACAGAATCATTGTTTTTAATACGCGCGTGTAAGAAATCGATGCAAATCTATCAACGTTATGTGTGCTGTGAACCCCGAAGACGAACGCGGTCAGTATCCATGATTGCTGTAATAGAGGAGCTGAAGAGAGAGTGGGTGAGCTGGGCTGACTTATAACTGCGGAAAGAGAGAGAGCGAGAGATTCCTTTACTTTAAATAATAAATAAATAATATTAAATACAAGAGACATTTTCAGCTCTAACCACAGTCTGGTGTATTGTTCTTTGTTTTTTTACTTTCACTTTCTGTTTGCTGTGTTCGGTGACGTCATCCTCACTCTCTATAGCCAGAAATTGAAGCAATATTCCTGTTGGAATATATTTTATTGATAACCAAAAGGGAAACTTAAGAATATGCTAGACAGTCTGGATTGCATCAGGTGGCTGGACATCTGCCAGCTTTCTGCTTTGTTTGCAGCTGTTTTTGTTTCTGTTTCATGTTTTTTGTTCATTTTTTTGTTCTGTTGTATTTTTTCACGTCATTAGAAGGCCTATTATGTGGGATGGATATTCATGTATCCCTGATTTGGACTGAGTAACTGTTTGGACCTGAATGTGATGAGAAGAGTGAAGAAGATGTCTTCTTCTTCCATTATCACCGCTGTGTTTCTGCTCTGCTGCTTAGCCAACGGCTCCACAGGTACAAACACAATTTAATGAATCATTATTAATTCCTCAGGCTTTATTAAAGAAAAAGTTCATTTTAACTTTTCAAATTGTTCTTTAAGATGCCACTTGTGATTGGCCAGATGTTCTATGTGATTTAGTGATCGTGCAGTTTTATTTCTATATTTCTTTTTTTCTTTTTGAGGCTCTCGGTGGAAATGCATTTTACCATCAGAAAAACCTAGAATTTAGCAATAATTACTGAACTAAAACATCCAAAAAGTTTTTACTGGTCCTTTACTGGGGGTAAAACTCCACGAAAATGTTGTATTTTACAGTCAATTTAAAGGCTGATTTTGATATTTTTTGGTAGTGGCGCTGAAATGGGAGCGGCAAATGAACTCAAGGAGTTGGAATGATACATGAAAATGAAGATTTCCTTATTCTCCATGAAAATATTAACATTGTGCCTCATAACAAGGTGACAGATGTATCTGCCAATGTCCTTTGATTTCCTTCACAGAAAATGAAATTGTTAAAGTTGTTCAGCAACTGAAAAATTCCAAAAGGTTGATTCTGTTCATCTGGACGTAGCGTTTTCAGTGGGAGAAACGTTTCATCACTCATCCAAGTTACTTCTTCAGTCTCAGATTTGTTACGACCGAGAGGACCAGGCTGTGTGTGTGGACTCAAGTGCAGACACAAAGGAAGGCAAACTGATGTGAATACACTGCTTTATTTACAGTGATACTTTAATTACAATGCAGGGAAAATATGTAGGCTATGAACTGTGAACTAAGAAACCTATGAACTGTTAACTGTGAAGTCTAAGACTATGAAACATTAAACTCCAGCTGTGTGCTATGACTAGATACAAGAGTCCATGAACAGATCCTGGGAAGGGGGGGGGAAGGAGCAGTAGGTGCACAGAGTCACTATAATTCAATTCAATTTCTTTATTGTCCCACAAGCAGGATAAAAATAAACAGAAAAATAATATAAAACAATAATGACAATAATAGTGATAGAAAGTCCAAGGACAGTTATTTGCCATTGAGGAGACAAGACGCAGTAGGGATAAAAGAGACCTGGAGTCTTTTAGTCTTCCTCACAGGTACTTTAAAACGGCGGCCGGAAGGCAACAACTCAAACTCACTGTGAAGTGGATGGTTCAAACAATTAATAATAGAATGAGCCTTTCTAAGCACATTTCTATTGTAAATGGCCAAAAGTCCATCTTGCCAGCGCCCTGAAATTTTGCTAGCAGTTTTTACCAGAAGTCCGAACCGATTCTTATTCTTCACCGTCAGGTTACCAAACCAGGCAGCGATACAAAAGGACATCACAGATTTGATAAAACTTCTATAAAACAAAGACAACATCTGAGATGAGACATTAAAAGATCTCATTTTCCTTAAAAAGAACAGTCTTTGTTGAACTTTTTTAGTAGTGGCATCAGCATGAGATTCAAAACACAGTTTATGGTCAAGTACCACACCTAGATATTTATAACTCTCAACGATCCCAATATCGGCAGTTTTAATGATAGTGGGTGATGAGCTATAAGAGGACTTCCTAAAATCAATAATCATGTCTTTAGTTTTTGACACATTAAGTGAAAGGAAGGACTCATCACACCAATTCGCAAAATCATCTACAACCTGTCCATGGCCTGACTCGTCCACCACTAGAAGACTGACGATCACTGTGTCGTCACCAAACTTCAGGATGTGTCTGTTTGTGAAATTGCTGCGACACTCATTTGTGTACAGAATGAACAGAAGGGGAGAGAGGCAGCAACCCTGGGGTGATCCAGTAGAGGAGGAGATCACATCAGAAAATACATGATTCACCCTCACGCATTGTGACCTATTAGTCAGAAAGTCTGTCACCCAGCCGACCAGACTAGTGTCAAGCTTGAAATGATTGTAAAGCCTGTCAGCAAGTAAGAAGGGTTGAATTGTATTAAATGCAGATGAAAAGTCAGCAAATAATAATCTTGCATGGGTGTGAGGGGCCTCAAGATGCTCATACAAGAGAAGCAGGAGTGTGACAGCAGCATCCTCCACACCTCTCCCTGAACTGGAAGGGGTCAAGATGGTGTTCAACATGCATTAAAATCTCCTTCTTAATTATCTTCTCAAATGTCTTCATCACTAAAGAAGTCAGAGCCACGGGCCTAAAATCATTCAGTGCCTTAGGAGAACTGCCCTTAGCAACAGGAACAATGACAGCATGTTTCCAAATCTTAGGTACTGTCTGTAGCTCTAAAGAAAGTGAGAAGGTATAGTGAAAAATCCCACTCAGCTGATCAGCACAAGTTCTCAGTACCTGTCCACAGATGTTGTCAGGTCCAGGACTCTTGCTTTTAGTGTGTCTAAAGAGATTAGCCCCCTCTCATCAATACAAATTGATGGGGGAGTGATGGTCTTTTCCCTCAGTGTGCTGGTCTGCCTAGAGCAGTCAAAGTTCTCAGAACGAAGGTAAAAACTGTTAAGACTGTCTGCCAGATGTTTGTCAGAGGTAAACCCCTCTAAGGTAATATTACTTTTACCTTTCGTCTGTAGCCCTGCCATTGTTTTCATACCAAGCCAAGCTCTTTGGAGGTTGTTACTGCTGAGTTCTGCCTCAGTCTTATTTCTATACCTCATCTTGGTGATCTTTATTACAGCCCTCACGTCCTTCCTCAATATTCTCATAGTGGGAACGTCTCCCTCGTTAAAAGCAATTTTCCTTTTAAGAATCAGATCCTTAATATCTTTAGAGAGCCACGGTTTGTTATTAGGGAAAGTCTTAAATTCTCTGACTGGAACCACAGAGTCTTTGCAAAAAGAGATGTAGCTACACACCACATCGGTGAGTGCATCCAAATCAGAAGTGCTCTCTTGAAACACGGACCAGTCAGTGCAATCAAAACACCCCTGAAGGGCAACACAACTGTCTTTTGTCCAGACATTAGTCCGCTTCACACAGGCCTTCTCCCTCCTAATCACAGATCTGTAAGCAGGGAGGAGGTGAATGACATTGTGATCCGAAGAACCTAGCGCAGGTCCAGCCACAGACTTATATGCCCCCTTAATTGGTCCATCATACAAATCCAGCGTTTTGTTATTCCTTGTAGGACAAGTGACATATTGAAAGAAATTGTTCAGTGATTTCTTAAGATTACAATTGTTAAAATCACCGAGAATAAAATTAGGAGCATCCGGTGAGAGAGTCTGCAGATTGTGTACCACTTTAAAAATGGCGTCGGCAGCAACTTTAACATCAGCTTTAGGATGAATGTAAACAACAGTGACAAAAATTTGAGGGAACTCCCTCGGTAAGTAAAAAGGCCTGACAGATACTGAAAGGAGCTCGATGTCAGGAAGACACAACCGCTCCCGCACAGTAAAGTTATTACACCAGCCCTGGTTGATATACAAACAAACCCCTCCTCCGTGAGATTTGAGTGTTACTCCACAGTTCCGATCCAATCTGACAGGGGTCCCAAAGCTCTGATTCGCAGTGAAGTGTCACTGTCCATATCGGTCAGCCACGTCTCGGTAAGCGCCATCAGACAAGCCTCCCTGTATTCCTGTAGATGAAGCACATTTCCTTGTAATTCATCCGTTTTGTTCCTAGGAGATTGCCTTCTATGATTCTGGCCAATGTCCAGAGGAACACGATTCTTCCTCCAAGTTTTCTTACACGGTGACGCACGCCGCCTTTCTTTCCGCGTTTTCTCAAGCAGCGGGGCTTTCCAAAATTAGTCTTTGACCGGGCAAATAAATCCTCACCAAGAATCACATCTGTCCGAGCATTAGAAGAGTCGTACATAGACAAACAGGACCACTGTAATCCAAGTAGTTCCTCGCATGTAGAAGTGATTATCAGTGAGAGTGAATGACTCCAGGTGAATATCGCCAACAACAATAAAACTAAGGTGTAGAAGATCTCCATCTCGGCAAAAAAACCCCAACTTAATAAAAAGTTAAAACCACGGTTAAAAACAGAGTTAAAACAAAGTTAAAAAGAAAAAGAAAACACCAGTAAACACCTGCTGCAGGTCGCCACAAGAGCAGCGCCCCCTCACCACAGTGAATCCTCTCCAGAGTGTGAGGCGTGTGAGGCTGAACCCTCTGCCACTTCTGATGGTGTGAACGTGGAAATAGAAGAGATAGACAGTCAGTGGAATTCCAGTGAATCACGGCTGGTTGATTAAACTATCATTGTAATGGCTTACGCGTTGCAGGCTAAGGGGGACTGTTACGACCCGGCTCAAAAGCCGCAACATAAAAAAAAGGAGATGAATAACAGAGTGTGGGTGAGAAGAGGTTTCATCCTAAAATGGAAAACCAGGTTGGCTAAAATGGCTGGTGCCACCAAGGCAAAGACTAGTGCACTGCCGGAAAGCTTGCCTCAGGTATGCTTTTATCCACACCTGACTAGGTGTGGCCAATTAGCACCAGCTGAAAACACTGAGACGATTAAAAGCTGCAGAGGGACGTAACACCTCCTCCCTTAAAAGGGTTCCTCTAGGACCCTTACATTTATTAAAAGCCCCTCTGAAGCCTTCAGTTCCTTGACCCACAAACCTGGAATAAAAGTTAAAGCTAACAGAAGCACAGTGTTCACGTTATAGTTGGCATCTCTAAGCATGGATGGGCATGAGGATTTGAAGTTGCCACACTGAACAGACAAAAAGTAACATGTGACCAACACAAAGGAGCACAACAGTCACAAACCCAAAATGATTACCTGATCTGCTACAACACAAAACCAAAAGTAGCAACAAATAATCACAACCAAGTGATCTGTTGTCTCCACCACACAAACAGTCACATACAAGTGGCCCTATACCACAACAAGTTACTTTAATCCAAAAAGTTCCGTAAATCAAGCGTACTAGTGACCAACCACAAAATGGAGAGCTATGGCCACACAATGATTACATCAAGGGTGGCTCAGCAGCCCACAGTGTTATTGCCATCACCTGGCCAACAACACTCACAAGTGATCCAACAAAATAGCCATATTCCCCTCAATACTAAAGGTCACAGCACAAAACACTCACCTCACAAGGATCTCATTAGCATCCATCCACACTGACATATGCACACACAGGGTGTGCACACAATGCCAACTTAAAAACAGCCTACCTGCCTCAGCTACAGACCATAATCATGAATGGTCTCAAACCTCCTACCAAGTTTGGTGCCACTGATTTACTATGTGCAACTCCCAGCCTAAAACACTAAAAACAACAAAACCCTTACTTTTCCTACCCTAGTCTTCAGTGGTGTACCAGGCTCGAGGCAACTTTAAACGCGAACTCGAGAGCAGGCAGCAGACCAGAGATATAGTCTCCTACCAAACTCTGAAGCGTACCCCCACCCAGGATAGCCACCAAACACAATAAACTAAAACAATAAAGCAAAACAACAAACAAGTGCTTCGATGGAAGGGCAGCACAGCCACCCAGCTGAAACACACTAACTAAAGGGAGTTTGCACAATTACAGTGACCACCATCACTCACCCACTTAAAAGCAAAACAAACTGACATTCAGTCTCCACTAAAATGTCCAAATATCCCGGACGTGCCACCACTTATGTTACGACCCGGCTCAAAAGCCGCAACATAAAAAAAAGGAGATGAATAACAGAGTGTGGGTGAGAAGAGGTTTCATCCTAAAATGGAAAACCAGGTTGGCTAAAATGGCTGGTGCCACCAAGGCAAAGACTAGTGCACTGCCGGAAAGCTTGCCTCAGGTATGCTTTTATCCACACCTGACTAGGTGTGGCCAATTAGCACCAGCTGAAAACACTGAGACGATTAAAAGCTGCAGAGGGACGTAACGGGGACTAGGGAGGAGAGTGTCCAAAGGGTCCGGGTGAGTAGTGGTCCAGAGAGAGTCCAACAGTCCTGGCAGGCAAGAGAGGTGCCACGATGAAGGGAGTGAAACTAGATAGCTGAAAACCTGCATCCAGGCAGAGATGCGTATTGTTCCAACTTGTGAAGCCAGATGACCAGGCGGATAACTATGACAGAAAGAAAAGACTGTGAGTAGAAATAAAAAAGTTACGGTATCTCACAAGAGCTTGCGGCCTAGCACTAACGCGAGTTAGCTGAAGGTCTGGCAGAGGTCTGTTGGGAGTGCTGGTTTTAAATGCCGGTGACTTGATTGCAGTCAGGTGTGAAGGCTGATTGGAGTTTCCGCCTGAAGGCGGAGCCCAGCAGAGTGGAAAAACTCCGCACTTACCCGGACCATGACATGGTTACTGCAGGTTTCACCAACCTTATAAGCAGTAAAGTTGCACAATAACTGAAACTAGCACCACTGAATGAACAATGGGCTGTGAGGTCAGTTCCTTGATCATTAATCAAAGTCAAAGTCAAGTCAAAGTCAGCTTTACTGTCAAAGACCATATATTTACAGTCATATTTTGAAATGACTGTAAATATATGCCCCCATGGCCCTCAGTGTACACTAAAACATCTTTTATACACCACAATTCAAAACTACACAATTATATAAACAGCGGTGTCCAACACAATCCTAGTGATTGTGGGCAAGTTCATGTGCAAGTGGGGGTGGGGCAGTCAGGGAACAGGTGATGGGGGAGGTTCAGAGTTTTGTATGTCTGGGGAATGGGGGCGTTCAGAGGGGAGAGGTGAATGCAGGTCTGGAGTTCATGTGTGTGAGAGCAGGGAGATAATTCAGCATCCTGACAGCCTGACAGGCGAAGCTCTCTCTCTCAGTCTGCTCGTTCTAGCCTGGAGGCTCTTCAGTCTCTTTCCTGATGGCAGAAAACTGAAGAAGCTGTTGGACGGTTGAGTGGAGTCACCTGTAATGCAGAGGGCTTTCCGGATGAGGCAGGTGCAGTAGATGTTCTGGAGGGAGGGAAGAAAAGAGAAGTACCAATGATCCTCTCCGCTTGCTTCGGCAAGAGCCATACCACACAGTGATGCAGCTGGTGACGATACTCTCAACTGTGCCTCTGTAGAAGGTGCTCATAATGGGGGTTGAGGCTCTTGCTCTCCTCAGTTTGCAGAGGAAGTAGACTCACTGTTGGGCTTTGCTGACCTGTGACGCAGTGTTTTTTGACCAGGAGAGATCTTCTGAGATGTGCACACCCAGGAACTTGGTGCTGCTTACACTCTCCACAGCAGCACCATTGATGGTTAGTGGGGTGTGCAGGGTGTGAGTTCTCCTGAAGTCTATGAGGATCTCCTTAGTCTTCTCCACATTCAAGGAGAGGTTGTTGTTGCTGCACCACTTGGCCAGATGGATAACTTCACTCCTGTAGTAGGTGTCATCACTGTTGCTGATGTGACCTGCCACAGTTGTGTCATCTGCAAACTTGATGAAAAGTATATGAAACGTATCTACTCCGGATGCCTCCACGCTTACCTCTCTTCTGTTTCCTCTCGAACCGCCCGAGACTTTTCCACTATGGGCGAGATCTAGTAGCAGGGGTTGCTGATGGTAGATGCCTCTGAAGCAGTCTGCAGTTCCTCAGTGTAATTCGTAGCTCTTCCATGATTGAAAAGTTCGTGGATTTGCTTCTCTTGATTATGAAAAAAAAGCATGCAACTGTATGAACATTGTGTAAAACAAGAAAAAGAGTAAAAAAAACACGGGGATACTGTTTTGTCAGGAGAGAGAGCAGTCGCTGTGTGCGTCCACGCTGCCATCTTGATACGAATTAATATGCAAATTCTCATGACCACTGGTCAACAACCACTGATCAATGGCCATGAGTACCATTCACAGAGAGTTGGGAATGAAATACATTTCAACTCCTGTTGTTTTATTCTGAAGCTGATCCAAGTGGCGTCTGGATTCCTGTGGTGGTGTGTATACCACCGCAGCATTGCCTGTGGGCCGTAGTTCAGCAACTGAAAAATGTTTTTTGCATATTTGTCTTGTCTTGACACCAGGTTTTCATTCACTGTTTTAAAGATAAAACATGTAATAATTAAAAATGATAATTTCCTTCAGATTTGATGAACTGACACGTGGCTGTTGAGAGCTTTTCTAGCATGACTGTTCTTAATTTGTCATGAAATTCCTCTTTATTTCTTTGTCTTTCAGGCTCTCAGGATGATTGTGTGTACGCTGCAACAGGATCAAGCTTAACTGTGCCACTTAGATATGAGTTGAAGGAATCAGATAACCTGAAATGGTTCAAGGACACAAGAATAATTTTTTATCGCAGACGGAAACAGGTGATCATGGGGAAAAATGATGCTGTTGATTCAACTGGATCACTAAAGCTGACACAACTCACCAAAGACAAGTCAGGACGATACATCCCAGAGGTTCACAGCACAGAGGGAATAAATGTGGGAGATTTACAAAGTGTGCGTTTGTGTGTATTAGGTAAGTAACAACATATTATACATACATTTTTCTGGTTATGTAAATATGCAAATATATTTCATAACAAGTGTGTTGATGGATCAGAAGCTGTTTAATTTTTACATTTTTGTCAACAGAAAATGTTTGATATTAATATAAAGTCACTGTTCAGTTTGGTTTTGCAAGTTTTATTTATTTATTTTTATTAATACATCATTAGCAGAAGTTCATATAATGTTATTTATTACATTTTATTACCTCAGACCGTGTGCAGAAGCCCAGCGTGACGATGACGTGTATAGACTCTGACTCAGTCAGCTTTACTTGCAATGCTGGTCAGGTGAGGACAACTATGAGTTTGTTTCATTTACATTTCAGGTTTCAGGTCAGAATATTTTTCAAAGAGTTGAACCAATAATTGTGAGTTTGGAGACAAAGTTTTCGTTATTTCAGCCTCGCTGAGCTGCTGTGAGCAACTGTTCTGTTTTATATGAGGAGGTTATAAAATAGTTTAGACATCTTGATCCTCCAGAAGATTCAACTCCACTTACTGATAAAGACACTGAAATGTGCTTAAAATGTCTGTGAAACCACTAGCTCTATTGTCAGCAATACTTTTACTCATGTTTCTTTATTTTTTGTTGTATTTTCTGAGTTCAGACACACAGAGTCAGTATGTAAATCATCAGATCCTAAGAACATTCACACAGAAACTGCTGAATCCACAAGGTTTGGATTGGCGTTTCTTCATACTACACATATGTTACTTAAACCTGATCTCTGTTTAATGTTTTAGCTGAGTTTGTGCTTCTGAGAGGAACCACTCTCTTTTACTCGCCTTGATAATTGGAGCATTTGAAATGGACTCAAAGTCCTCTAAACATCTGTTTATAGAGACTTCCTTATCCTGGTAGAGATTTAACTCTGGTGCTGATGAAAGCACTTAGATGTGGTTATGAATTTTGGTTGTCAAACTGCCATTTCTTTCTTTTTTGTAATGAGGGGAAGAAGTGACAATATTTACACAGATTATAAAAAGCATGAAAAAGAAAGGAAAAGCAGAGTGTGAGGGAAAGAGATGGAAAAGACTGTTGTTCATATTTTCTTCCACAGAAAGACAACACTGTGAGATTTGAATGGACTAGTGCGGAGACACAGTTGGAGGAAACAGGGGAGATCCTAATAAAAAGAGCTGTAGATGTGGTAAACACCCCTGTGGTTTGCCGTGTTTCTAACCCCATCAGCTTTGCCATCAGTGACCCTGTTATACAAAACTGCTTCACGCCCAGTAAGTATCATGTACTATCACCTGTCCATTTTTATTTCACTCATCTCCAAATGAAATACATTTCAACTCCTGTTGTTTTATTCTGAAGCTGATCCAAGTGGCGTCTGGATTCCTGTGGGTATATTTCATATCTTATATAAAATGAGGAGCAATTAAACTTCACACAATGAACTAATTTTTTTTCTATTTCTAGTCCCACTTAAAATGCCAAATACAATTTGCTGTCATTCTTCACCATCAGATATTTGTATTTTTTTTGTGGTAATCCTTGTTGTTGTCATTTGTTGTTTCCAGACCATACAGAAAAAGCTGATTCTTTTTACCTAGAAATGCAGCCAAGGCGCAAGGTTTTAATAAAAATGTCAAACTATTTACAGAACAATCAGGTGTTCTGCATCAAATAAGATGCCACACAAATTATTTGTGCCTCTCCAAAAAATAATTTCTTTCCACTATAAGCTAAAGGAGAATATCACAATCCTGATGCCTGCAGGCCTCACAGCAGGGGTGTATCACTCCTGCTGTTATCCACCTGGAGACAGCGTTTACACTGTAATCTGCCTTTGGTGGCTTTTTGGCTGTGACATTCAGCCTTATTGTTCTGACACACAAAACAAAATTTTTTGTGACTGGGTGGTCTGGGTTTGATTTCTTTTTTTTTTTAAATCTGAGTGACACCTACCCTATGTGTTCAGGTTTTAGAGTTTGTTGATTGGAAAGCAGATGATGTTCGATTCTGGCTCATCCCTGTTTAGCTGACAGCACCACGCCAAAGCCAGCGTCTTAGTAATGGCAGATTTTGCCAGAAATGTTGAAAGTTGATTGTGATGTGAAGACACAGGATGTGTTTTGTCCTGTTTTCCTCCTTTCACACCAGGGTCGGGGCAGATGACCACTTCTCGCTGAGCTGGAGGTTTTTTCCTGTTAAGAGCTTTTCCTTCTCACTGTCACTAAAGCTCTTACTCATAGGGGGTCATATGATTGTTGGGGTTTTCTCTGTTTCTTTGGATTAGTGTAGGGTCTTTAAAATATAAAGTGTCTCGCAGCAACTATTGTTGTGATTTGGCGCAGTATTGACACAACTGAACTGAGCTCATTCTCCCTGTTGTCTATGCTTATTTTAACAGAGGAGGAGGAGCTTCGTTTGCAGATCCCTCAGTAACAGCAGCAACGTCAGCATCAGCTGTAGTGAGCTGGCCTGCAACACTCAAATAACTGATCTCCACCATCATGACCAGCAGCATCCCAGAACCTCTGAGTGAGACAACAGAAAAAATACAATCATTATCCAGCCTCAGTGATGAGATGAAACAGTGTGTTTAGTGTGTTTACACTGACTGTATAAACTGGGTTAAATGTGCACACAATAATGGAGCAGGTTAAAGGAAATGAATCCATACAGGCAATCTAATCTAAATCTAAACAAGTGCTAATCAGTATTTGATCAACATTAATGGACTAATGACTCATGTGTTACAGTGTTTTTAAAAGATACATTATTAAAACTACATTATTCTTGGAATACTGTCGTCTACCTTATTTTCCGCACTATAAGGCACACTTAAAATCCTTTAGTTTTCTCAAAAATCGACAGCATACCTTATAATCCGGTGCACCTTATGAATGAATTCTGGTTGTGCTTACTGACCTTGAACTGATTTTATGTGGTACATGGCGCTCAAAAATCTGTCAAAAAAAGTTTTAGTACGAAGCTATGAAGCTGCACTGCTTGATGGATTGTCGGAGCATTTCGGCTACCATAGCCGGGAGCCTCGCAGAGTAGTCTGGGTCCAAAACTCCGCTTCAGGTCCCAAAGTCAAACGAACACTGCGGCATCACTGAGAGTTAAAAACTGTCTAAATTCTTTCATCTTTAATAAAATGATCAGCGTTCCTGCTCTACCAGTTGTAACAATTAAGTTTGACATCCAGGCATCCATGAAAACAGAATTTATTAAATTTAACAGAGTTAGAAGTTAGCAGGAAGTTAACTCGCTGGTTTCCACCTAAACATGATATACCATGTTCTGAAAAAATGAAAACGTACAGCTCTGCTATCACTTCCAACATAAATGAATTCAGAAAACTACATGTCAAACAGTTTAATATCTATTATTGTGCTAAACGTCACATGTTACAACGAAAACATGCAAACCTTCGTTATTAACTGCAGCTTCAACATTGAGCTGCAAAAATGCTTTTCCCGCGGTAACATTTCGACAATAACCTGTTAGTTTATTACTAGGGGTGCAACGATATTCGTATCGATATTAAACCGTTCGATACAGTGCTTTCGGTTCGGTACGCATATGTATCGAACAATACAAAATTTGTAATTTATTTTATCAACTTTCCTTCTGAAGATGCTGTCTGTGTTGAGCGCTCAGTGAATCTGCGTTCGACTACTCCGCCTAGGCTGCACTGTCGAGCGCAGATCCACTGAGCGCTCAACACAGACAGTGTAGAAAACCCCTGTGATTTGTGTATATAGACTGTTCCACGGACCCCCTCTAACCACTGCTAAGATGGTACATTCCTCCCATCCCTTGTTTGTTTGCGCTGGTCCACCTTGATAGCGCTGGTGGAGCTGGGCTGTTGTACTGAACATGTGTAGTGCGTGTGCGTGAATGATAAGTAAGTGCCTTGTATTTGTTTGTTCTATGGTTGTAACTTATCATATACTTAGCTATGTACATTGGGTGATGCTTAGTAGAGTTTTCCAGCTGTTCGTGTAGCCACGAGACACTGTATATTCACGCTGATTTGACCAAAATGGCGCTACCCTTGTGAACTGAGCTGCCCAAAGTAAAGATGGAGTCTATCCCTGTGCAGCAGCCCATTTGTGTCCACCAGGGGGTGGTGTTTAGTCATTTCTGTTCAACCCTTTCTGTATTATTTAGACCAGTTTGGTTGACTTTAATTGTTTGCTAATTGTAATTTCTGTTATTTTACAGAACCACACACACACATATACATATACTCACACGAATTCACTTCTGGAGATGTTTGGATTAAAAGAACCCTAATTATCATTGCTGTGGACCCTCTCTTTCATCATATAAGTCACCTGTGCCTTCTGACCGAGGATAGGAAAATCCTGCTGTAATTTGCCAGTCTATTAAGCACACACATGTCCAGTTCAAGTGGTCCTTCGAGCCGGAGTAATTACAGCATTTCCTAACATGGCGACATCCCGATATGATGAAGAACAACAAGGTGCCTGGCAAAGGAGACCACATAGGGCTCCAAGATATCTGAATGACTTCATCTGGACCTATCCCCCACAGCCGACTAACCCAGTTCCACCGAACACTAACGCAGCTACTCCAATACACCAAATCGCTGGCATCGATGGCTCACCAGAGATGGAGAGAATAAGGAGGATGGAGCAGTGTGTTACCCAGGTACAGGAGCAGATGAGGGAGATACAGAGCGCTATACAAGTGTCTTTGAACTTTGGCCAAAGAACCCCCCAAGTACAGTTACAAACCCAGGTCCGGAGCCATAGTATGCCTTTACTAACTGTGGATAATAATCCTACACAAGCTCCTCCTATGGGCGGACTAGAAAACATCCCTCCCATATCTCCAGTAATACCTAGCCCTCAGTTTCATACTGTACAGCAGACCTCCCCTTCCACAGCTCATCATGTTGATAACCCTCAAATATTACAGTCAACAGCTCCTGCTCTCCCTGTTAACCGACCTATTCCTCAGCCCCCTCTATACGTCCACTCTTCCATGCCATCAGCTGCTCAGCCAACACCAGTGGTACCCCGGTCTGCATCTACAGCAACAGAACAGCCACATCCTCCCTGGTATCAGCAAAGAGACCTGAACTGGCAGTCATCAACCCCACAGTGGTCTGTGCCACACAGTGCTGCTCAGTTTAGTATCCCTGGCACTAGGCAGTACCCTGTCACGCTGCCGCCTGGCATGCCCTCTCCAGGCTATCCGCCTTGGACTTCAGGCCCACCTCTCAGTCAGCCATACGTTACACAAGTGCTGCCACCTGCTGTTAGCTCACAGTATACCTATCGGCATCCTGCTCCAGCTGCACCTGTCAGTTCACAGCATGATGTAATTCAGAGCAGCCCACAACACTCCTCATCTCTGCTTTCCTCTCAGAGACCGAACTTGATGGAGATGGCTATTTCCTCTTCTTATGGCATCCCTAAACCCAACCTGATCTGCTTCACCACAGGAAAAGAGAGTGATTTTCTGCTACTGAAGAAAGGTCTGGATGGAGTTTTGGGACCACACCCACACCTGTCTGAGGATTACAAATTCCAAGTACTTCTGGATCATCTAAAGTTTCCTCCTGCATTTCAGCTTGCAAAGAGGTATGTGCATGACACTATGCCCTTCAGTAAAGCAATGCAGGCTCTACAGCAGCGCTATGGACAACCACGCCAATTAGTCCAAGGTGAAATTAACAACATTTTGAGAGCTCCCACAGTGAAAGCTGGAGATGCACAGGGGTTTGAAGACTTTGCTCTATCAGTTAGTAGTTTGGTGGGACTACTAAACTCCATGGAAGGAGCTGCTAAGAGCGAACTAGAGTGTGGTTCCTGTCATGGTCCTGGGCCATGTTGGCCCAGTGTTCTTAGTTTTCTTGTATGTTTGTATTTTGTTCCTTGCTTAGGCCATGTTTTCTGAGTTGCCCTGTTGTGTTGTTCCCTAAGTGTTTTCCCTTCATGGCTTTTACCCCCTGTGTGCCCCTCTGTGTATCTGTGAGCCCTCGTCTCTCCTTATGTTTTATTCCATGTTTCCCCTGCCCATTATGTCTAAGTTCTCCCCGTGCTCTCTCTTCCCCCTGTGTGCCCTCTATGTATTTATGAGCCCTCGTCTCCCTTTGTGGTTGTTTCATGTTTTCCCAGCCCGTTATGTCTGTGTTTTCCCCGTGCTCTCTCTCCTCCTGTCTGAACCTCTGTGCACTTCCTGTTTACTTTGTGACTCTCACGCCCGTACATGTCATGTTCAGTTCACCCCGCCCTGTCTC